AAGGTACTTCATAATTGGATCCCGTAATTATTCTCGCTGATCTTTTTCGCAATTTAAACAGCCCACCTATGTGGGCGCAGTTACCGTCATTCAATGCTTTGAACTATACATAAAGTTAGGTAGTACTAAACAATTGTACATTTCAATCATTGCATTTTGGGTGACAAAAGGTTTAGCTCTTTTCAATAATGCAATTGATTGAGTTATTTTTTTGCATTGGTTGTCATTGTTTTCACTCCACTTAAATTCTTGGTCAATAGTAAGACCCAAAACAATTTTACTTGTAACCTGTTTTATAGAGTGAGTGCCAATTAGTATCTGAAGTTTTCCTGAGAGTTGTTTTAGTTTACGTTTGGATGCAATCATCATAAATTCTGTTTTCTTAACATTTAGGGTTAATTTGTTTGCTTCAAGCCATTTATTGATACTATGAAGATCGTTGTTAATTTTACTTTATATTTCTGCAACTGTTTTACCAACACATGATATGTTTGTATCATCTGCAAACATGGAGGCTTGCGTTTGAGTAAGGCAACTAGGAAGATCATTGATATATAATGAAAATAGTAGGGGACCCAAGTTAGATCCTTGAGGGACGCCACATATTATCTTATTGTATCGAGAATTTGAGCTTTGAACTGTGCATGACTTTTTTCTGTTTGTTAATTAGGTTTGGAATAATTTTAGTTCGACTCCTTTGATACCATAAAGTTTTAATTTTCCCAATAGAATATTGTGGTTCACTGTATCAAATGCTTTTTTCAGATCAAGGAACAAGACCCCATTTATTAATCCTTTGTCCATATTGTGTAGAAATTCATTGATGATTTTTACTAGGGCTGTCTCTGTGGAATAAGATTTTCGAAAACCTGATTGATGTCTTGAAATTATGTTATTGGCTTTCAAGAAAGTGGTTAATTGATTGGATATTAATTTTTCTATAATTTTTGCAATGATATGACTGAGATTGGTCTATAGTTCCCACATTCACTTTTCTCACCCTCTTTGTAGATTGCAGTTACCTTGGCTAGCTTTAGGTCATCTGGAAATACACCTGTTGCCAAAATTAAATTAAATATGTAAAGTAATGTCTCGTAAATAGTAGTGCCTACAGAAGTTAATAATTTATTTGAAATTTCATCCGAACCTACTGCCTTTCCTAACTTTAGACTGTTGAGGCTCTTATGCAGGTCTTCTTCAGTGATCTCCTTAAATTTAAAATCAATGTTTGATGGGTGACAAAGTGAAGTGGTCCCGTTCAACGCATATTCGCTTTCTTGTCATCATCATCCTCTATTTGAAGGAAAATATTGCATATTTTTACGCTGACAACAGAAATTAACTTTTCCCTTCGTTAGCACAACAGTTGCTATTTCATTCCATTGGTTTGATATTTCAAGAAAAAATCAGGAACAACATATTTCGAGTGAATTTACGGGACACAGAACACTACTAAAAAACGTTCGAATTATCTTCATTGCCCTAAAATAAATAAAAGTTCTAAAATTGGCGCAACGCATCACGGTATTTTTCAGCGCTAGCTTCTCCATAATCTAAAAAATCTCCAGCCTAAATTCAGAGTGAGTACAGACAAGGTAAAAGACGACATATGAACAAGCCGACAAGTGAACAAGGTAAAAGACGACAAGTGAACAAGCGAATATTTTCAAATTATACATACGTAGAGTAAATTTTATTTATCTAAAGATGTCTAAGATGATAATTTCGTTTCATACACCAACCAAAGACCATTTTTATTTTCACAACATTAGCAATAAAAATGGCGGGAGAGTGTCCCAAACTCGTTATGTCACACCTAAACGTCACATACGGAAAATACGCGCACTGTACCCCGTGGATGTAGTGATGTATGAGTTCTACGAGTGCTTTTGTCCTCGGTAAAATACAGCCATCCAAATAATAAATAAATAAGCGACATTATTGTCTAATGCAATCTATGCAATCACTCGAGTGTTTAAGCACTTCATTGTAACTTTAATTCATTATATATTGCAACAAAGATCTATAAAATTAAATGACTAATTGAGAATTTTGAGAGCAATGGCTGAGAGAGAGGGAGGGAAACAGAGAGAGGGGGAAAGAAAATGCATGCATGAAAACGAGTCTTCTGATGTTTGCTGGTTTCAAAAAGTTGTAGTTTTTTTCTCTTTTCAATCATTAGATAATTCAGTGAAGTGTCGTGGTCAACATGCAATGAGACTTTAAATGCGCACATGCACTTTACAAGCATAGCATGACATATTCGATAAAGATAGAACAAGGTTTATTATAACAAATCCAAAGATTTAATACATATTAAATTTTCAACGAGAGATATTTGAGTAGCGTAGCTATGCAGCCCGACAATTTGTCCCGCTATGCTAATATTTTGGTGTTCATTGATTGTGAGAACAATGAATTTCTAAGGACACGAATAATTATAATAACTCGAAATTTACATAGCACCTACGGGACAAAAATGTACGGCTGGCTATGCCATTTGATGTCAAAAACTCGTCCCTCTTAGGGGCTGTTTACATGAGCCCGGTTACCCGAGATTCAACGAAGCGGAGATGATTTTGAGGCATTGAAATAAGTCTTTATGACACCAAGCAAGCACATGCTATTGTTGTGGTGATTGCCAGGATCATGTTATCTGCTCATTTCAATACCTCAAACTCATCTCACGCTTCGCTGAATCTCGGGTAACCGGGGTCATGTAAACAGCCCCTAAGAAGTCGAGAGTGATTCGCGAATCGTCTGACTATTTAGCAGGTCAAGGTCCGTCTAAGAAGTCGAGAGCGATTCGCGAATCGTATGACTATTTAACAGGTCAAGGTTTCGTTCATTAGTGACACTCAAATTTAAAGGGTGAATTATTTGTATATCTCAGATTGATGTTTATGTTAATAGACTGTTATAACAATCGATTTGGAAAGAAATTGATGAAGGGCAAAATAAATTTAAAAATATGTGCCGTTGTCTCCAATCATCGTGCTTCCTATTCGTCAGCGTTACAAACTTATATGTAACACTATAGTCATAGCGTCGTACTAAAAATTATTCCAAAGTCATGCTTTGTCTATATATGCTCTTATAACTTTAGCACTTCTAAACTGTATGGATATTACTATAGAGAATTTACTCTCGTGCAAAAAATACTGAATTTAATACTAAACTCTAATTATGTTTTTCAAAGAGATATTTAGTTCGATTGAAAGAAGATCTTTCTCAAACGTAAACACATTCATTTCTCACAGTGACGTGATCTTGGGTATTAATCTCTCTTCGCAAGTCTTCGCCCTTTGCTTGATGCAAATTGATATATGATTTCTGAAAATAAATATATTGTTATCTTAATTGTAATATTAGTTGTATGATCGTTACATAGATAGCTGTAACAGTTAGGCGTGTCTATATCCTCAGCAAAATCGCGAGTTATACATAGTGAAGAAACTAAAACTAGAAGGCTGGCTTCCAATCCCGACATGTATAAGCGTAGGCATTAGAAAACGCATTAAAAGAGAAACAATGAAACGCAATGAAACATGCAGCACTCGAATCAACATTAGCTCTAGACTTATAAAACATAGGCCTGTACTATAAAAGACAAAATGAATTTCAAATATATAATTTTCCTGCTTTTTCTTTTACATAAGATACTTTATTTAATTAAGTCTGGATGTTTCATCTTTTACGCTTATGTTATGCAATAGTGAAAACAGGCTTTATAGTTCTATGTATATGAGCTTACTTGGTTATCGGTTAACATGTCATGAAGATGCTGTCGTATTTCCGAGAAATTTGGTCGCTTTTTTTCATGATCGCACCAACAGTTCATCATTATTTCATATCTGAATAGAAATCAAAGAAAATTTTGGGTTTTAGGGGATATGGCAAAAAATATTTCTAATTTGTTGAAAAGAAAATTTTCAAAAGCAGGGTTGCCGTTTAAAAAATAACAATTATATGCATGTTCACGCTTTAGTATCGAACTCCTACAATTCAAACGTTTTAATTTGAGATAAGTGCAACTGTAATGCTATGAAACTGTCAATTCGCTAGATAGTTAATTTGAAATTAGAAAACAAATTTTCATCCTGATTATGACGTAACGTATAATTATCAGGTTAATAATATGCACGTCAAAAATGGCGTATAGAAAACAATTTCATTCGAAAATATCTAGAGAGGTAAAAAATTTAAATAATCGTAATGTTCTTTTAAAATAGACAAAGATATTTTTTATTGCTGTAAACCCTTAAAGGCAATTTGAAATAAATAAGCGGTCTTAAAAATCGTTGGTATTTTTGCAGATTGCTGAAAAAACTAATTTTACTTACATTTCATTTGAGCAATTAAACGGTTTCGGTAATCGGCAACCACGATTGATATGATTTCGCATTTCAAGCGGAGATATGTCGCTGTATGGTTCCCCACCTGTCCAAACGTTATTCTTGTTAAAAAGGTTTGAAAATATATGCTGTATGAATGCGTACAATATATATATATATATATATATATATATATATATATATATATATATATATATATGTATATATATATATATATTATATATAGATATATATATATATATATATATATATATATATATATATATATATATTTAACTTGATAATCACCATTATGGATTAAAGGAGACTATAATTAAGAATGATAATTCGTGTCATGCATCAACGAGTTTACCTATCCTAAATAGTGGATACTATTTTCCTCGACGGTCTTAGAAAGAGAAACAGTAAATGCGGAGGAAATTGGACAGGCATCTTATCGGAAGGGTATAAAAGGGGCGGCAGGTAATCCCCAGCTGTTCAGAAAGAATCTGTACAAAAAATTCGTTGTTTGTATGGCTAAAAATGTTTTAGGTTGAATATATTGCAAATTCTTATCCCAGGCGTTGTACGACCCAAAAGATTCATGAACATATATTGCAAGTTCATATTTTCTCGACTCAAAATTTTAGTATATCGATAAGCTTACCTAAAGTTACCAATTCATACAGAAAAACGCCAAAACTCCATCTGAAAATTTTAATAGAAATTATTGCCTAAATTTAAAAAGACCTTACCGAAAGTTATATTTGAACTTACACATCACTAGCAACTGTGAAGCGACCATAAAGTAAACTTTCCAAAGCCATCCATTTAATAGGTAGTAGATCCTACAAGAATCATTGCAACAAATTAATTTTAAATACTTATTAATTTTGTAGTTTCATAAATGGTATCTACCCCAAAAAATTATGGTTTTAAACTACATTCCTACATTTATTATACTTTCACGCCCAACTGTGTCCGAACACTATTACCCACGCTCACTTCAAAACGTTCAATTCGCTTATATACCAGTGAAGTTCGCACGTACACATACAGAGCAGCTAGAAACATTTTTTTGCCATAATAAGGAAATATACGAAGACATTTTAAAAGTTTGGAATAGTGAACTGATGTATATAGGATATGCAAGAGCCTGCTTGGCTGCATGCGCAAAGTTCTTTCTACTAAGAGTATCAGAAACTTTTTTCACTATCATTGCTGGTTAACAGTTCTCAATTGCAGGGTGTGAAGCTCGGTGAATTTTGCATTTTGTTTCCTGAACTATATTACTCAATAACCTTTAGCACGAAGCCCGTCCGTAGTATGATTTCACTTTTTTATCATATTTCTTTTAAAATTATTATACCTGGTTTGTTCGTATGTATTCCTCAACATTTGCGATGTCCCTTGTCAGCCCGAAGTCTGAAATTTTTGCCACATCACAGCTAAGGAGAATATTTCTTGCAGCCAAATCACGATGAACGAACTGAAATGCATGAGGGCTTTTAAGGTGGATTGATAAATTGCCTTTCTTTTTATAGTCATATTGATTGCAGGGAGAAGTTACCGTGCATCCCATCTTAATGTAGGCGATCTACGTGTATTACACAATTCTGCTACCATATCTTTTCAATAATACCTATTTTTATACAGTAGAAACAAAATATGTCTGATATGTTGATTATTGCGTTTAAGGGTAAAATTGCAACGAACTGTCTAACTTTGAAATCGTATGCAACAAATATGTTCACCTTCAGATCGGAAAGATGTACCATTCCACTTGCTACATCCAAACCCATTTTCAATAGTTCACGACCACTTACAGTCGATATCATTTGAACATTTCGCAAGTCAGATGTAGTGGAGTTGTCACCGACTTTACTTTTTCTGAGAAAGGTTTGCAGATTACCTGGAGAGCAGTACTCTGTTACAACCATTAGTTTCCCTAAAACAAATGAACATTATCCGTCATCTAACAATAACTTTTACAAATTCAAAAGCTATACCTAAAATGATAGTTTCATAGTTCGAAGCCGTAGCTAGGCAAAAGCACGTACGAGTATATTCTTTAGCTAATAACATATTTACAGACATTACCTTTCGAAAAACAACATCCGATCAATCTTACAATATTTGGGTGTAGGTCTTTGTTAATTCTTTTCAAGGTTTCTAACTCAGTTATCAGATCTGATAGATCAAGTTCCGTTGCGTTTTCTAAACATAAGTGTTAACTAAGAGTCGAAAACTTTAATACAACGAGCAATAAATACAGTTGTGAAATTTGTGAGTATCATATACCGATCGCTGCGCAGTATTTTTGTCACATGTGTACATCTGTAATTCTCAATAAAGGTATTTTGATCATTGATAATTCATATTATTATTAACTTTGATGAAACTAAACTTAATTAATATAGTCATAACTTTGTTACACACATGTCCTAATATGCATAATGCATTAACGCTTAATCTATTCATTTCAAAAGCACGTAAAAATACTCTTGGCCGATCTGTATGGGATTTACAATGGCTCATTCTACGCAGACGGCATTGTATCATTCCCATGTAGATCCGCTGCTCCTAGTTTAGCTACTTAATTAATATAGTTACTTTCACTGCTTTTCCTCCTACTTTTCCTCCTACCATATTGATATAGTTCAATATATTAACTTCTTCTCTCTTAGAGTTAAATGAAAGAGGGAAAGGGCATATGCTCCCATTCAGTGGGGTGTGTCTGCCCAACAAGAAAGGGATTTTAGATTATGGTGGTGCTAAAAATTCATAAAAAGTGAAAGATTTTTTGATAATAAATTCACCCATTATATACCTTTTAACATTTTGACAGCGACCTTTTTGTGTCCTTCTTCCAGAAGAGACGTGTATAACCCTTGCTTTACGATGCCAAATTGTCCTGATCCAAGTGTCTCGTCCAAAATCTGCAAACGGTCTGGGCAGATTTCCCAGTCTTTTAAGATCGTAATGTACGAAATTTCGCCAGGCAGAGGTACTAAAACGTGGAATTATATCATGGAATTATATCCAAAAAATACATCAAAAATACGATGGGCATTCCCTAAAAAAGGTGTTACCGTTATATTCGTTTATTTCCCCAAAATTAACGAACCCATCTTGTGTAGTATGTTCACTTTCCCGGCGGGATTGATATTCCTACAATAGATAAATTACATAATCCTTAACAGGATCTTTGTTAAAAAGACCTGTATTTTCATTTGACACACCTAGCTCTCAAAAATAAATATAATTTAGGTTCAGAGGGAGGTCTTACTGAGGTTATTTGAATTTGACTTCCTTTATTTCGTCTTCGCATTAAGAAAAGATAAATCATTATTGCAAGGCCAACGAATGTAACGGTTCCGGCTAATCCTCCTGCAATAGCGGCCATATTGCGCTGAGACTTCTTAGCTTCAGGGGTAATAGATTCCTCGGTAACTTCACTCTGTATTGTTATATTGTAATAGTAAGCAGCTTCACCAACAATGCCAATATCAACAGCCTCGATTTTCACAGTGTACACTCCAGATTCATCTGAAAAATAAACAGGCCTGAAGAAGAAGGAAGAAATATTCGATCACGGCTATCAACCAGGATCATCATAAGCGTAAAATACCGAGAGCAAGGCTGCGCATCCGTAGAGATTAAATGAAATAAAAAATCGAAAATACTGAAACTACATAACAAATGAAAAAAAAATAGTTCAGAAATAATCTCTGCAATATACCCACAAGAGCCTGAATGGCATTTTAGGTCAATTGCATGCATGGTGTCATCCAAGTTTATCTGAAATACTATTTCAAAATACTCTTTCTACTTCAAAGGTTTCCAATGCTGGAACATAACGAGGGAAAATATGTTTCTCTCAGCTTCTGAATATTTGGTAAATGTATTCTTACTTGCAAAGTCGTGGATAAACGGACTGGTTTCAACCTGTGGTTTCCGAAAAGCATCGCTTCCATTTTTTCTCAAGGACACTAAGTAGTGATCAGCATGACCAGCAAAAACCTCCGTTGGCAACCATTTAACGATCATAATGCCTCTATCAACAGCAACTGAAACGTTTTTAGGCTTACCTGGCGATGGTCCTGCAAAGATATTGATAATATCTTCGTAATAATAATTTTTTAGAGAGAATCTTTAAAATCGGAAAAGAATTTAAAAAGTTTGTTTGAATTTCAATGACAATGCAATTTTTTGTTCCGATTTTTTTAGGAAAAAGAGTCTAGAAATACCATAAGCGCCGCCAGCACTATAATTGGGGTGACTGTTCATATATGCATGTTACGTATAATTAATTTCGTTTCAAAATGATTGCCATTACAGTCTGTTAACATGAATATATGAACATGTCTCCCCATCTTATTTATCGATGCTGGCTATACGCCACTGCATACCATGTGAAAGAGGGTTTAAATCATAGCCACCAGGGTAACCAAATGAAGATTTATAGTTCCATCCAAACACAATGAGACCGAACTTTACCGAGGAAGAAGTGTGATATATTGCAACCTTGCTTAGATCTGGTAGATTTATCACTGTCCAAACATATTTCGATGCATTGATGCCTTTCCAATCTAGATCACTCAATCTCAGCCCATCTGCATGCAAACCATCGACGTTTTCCTTTTCTATAACTATTGTGATGGAGTAGGAAATTTGTAAATCAAATGGAAGGGCAACGTGATATAACGAAAGAAACTGGTTTACTGCAGGAAGAGCCATCATTGACCATATTCTATTCTTCCAAAAAATTGATTCGCTTCGGATATACTGAACAACTTGACATGGCTTATTGCATTTAATATATGAAGCTAAATCTTTATTTAGGGTCAACTCCACGTATGACCCAGATGACAACACTTTTGTCCAGTATGAACATTGGACAACAGTATTATTTTGTGATGCAAAAATACGAAAAATGTCTCCGTGTTTTTTTTTCGTGGTTCCTACTGTTGTCAAGATGTATTCATAGCCCCACAAATAAGTCGGCAAAAGGGTCGCTTCAAGGAAACTGTATGATCCACGCAATCTGCGATCATCAACGCCTGATATCACGGTCATTGGTGACCTTGAAACAACGAGTGTTCCAGATAAATCTTCTTTACTAGAGACGTATAACACATTACGTTTTGCAGGATAAATATATATAGTACGCCTTCTATATTTATCAATTATCCCACCGTTAGAGCGATAAGTTATATTTTTACCGGTAGTAATCATAACACGAAAGCTGTGCACTGCTGGTATGACAGCAAGATTTGAAGTACAATTAGTGCAAAATGGTAAATATGATGCTGCATAATAGGCAAAACCCGTGGCGTTATATAGAGTTGGTAACGCTAAACTTCCTTCAAATTTGAGACTGTCGCCGATATTTAAGCACAGAACTGAAATATCTCCGGATGAGATAATCTCGATACCTCCCTGGCTACTTATTAGTTCCCTCAATCGCCATGAAATTGGCAGTTTCTTCCTTAAAATTCCTCCTTCTTTAATGAATTCTTTTATTACGAATCGCATTCTTGTCTGTTCGCTAAAAATCGTCACGTTTGTTTCTTCAAGAGCTGTAATAACTACGAATATGTAGTCGAATTCACGATACCCATTTCGAGATGTAAATGTGACGAAGAAGTGTTTTCCATAGCTAGTCTGTGTATCTGAAAGAACGTATAATTGATTAGACAAGCTCATGCTGATATATAGCAACAAATCCGGGCGTGCTGATGTAAGTAAGGGGGGGAGGGGGGATTTGGGAATACAAATGTTCAGCATAATGTCAAGTGATTAAGTTAACTTCTTGTATAGGGATATACGATATTTTTTAATTCAGTCAAAATAAATTGAGCGAGTGTAAGTTTGGAGCCGACGCGAGCTTGGCTCATTGTTAGTACGCTCCATAGGTGGTTGTAGCTAAGAAGAATTTACCAGACACATAAGAAGTTTAGTTTGCAGTACACCTATTCACATGCAATAATATGATCGAGACAGGGGCATAGGTGCTTTTTAGTTGGCACAAAAGCGGTTTGGCTGTTCGACTTTTGAGAGATTCGAAAATTTTAAATACAGTTATGCAAATATTAAAATAATTTTGTGCCCTTTTACGCCAATAAATGCGTTTTAACGCCATGCTCTTTCACGCCAACAGGCCGTCACAATTTCATTTAACCCCTGTATAAGTCTCAGGTTGAACTCGACCAAATTCAGGCGCAAGACGGAATATTCCCATAATAGAGACGTAGTTGGAAGAAATAAAGTGACTTTATTCTGATGAAAAAAAAGCCGCAGTCCTACCAGAACATAATTATAATTGCGACATGTACAGAAGTATTTTACTAGGAACTAAAATACTCGTGCGTAAAACTCATACGGCACTACATTCGGGTCAAGGTACGCGTACATCCAAAGGCCACGATCAGGATATTTACAAACGAATTTTTAAAATTTCCCGCCATGTCGTGAAAATACAATTGGTCTTAATTGTTTTGAATTCAAAACTAAATTAACGTTGGAAATTTAACGAAAACACTTAAGAGACATCCTTAGAAAAGTAAGTGAAATTTATTTTACTTTTTGTGATCATGAGTCACCCTCGCACATAAAATCCATAACTTCTCGCAACCATTTAATATCATAATCATGATGACAGTGCATACCTAATTTTAGGGTGCAGTGATAACCCTTTGTGCACTGATAAAAGTAGAATGTGCAGTGATAAAGTGAGAAATGTGCAGTGATAAATGGTATTTTTTTCAACAGACCTCACTCTGCTGAGGTGGATTCATAAGTAGTTGTCCCCCAAAATGCTAGAAATCAAGTCATAAGGACGCGAAAATACAGAAAAATTTCTGCAAGAGGCCCTGCAGACCCCCTAAAATTCCACCATCTTTATATTACCAATTTCCAGGTAGGACCGTCTTTATCATGCCCCTCTCCACTATACTATTGTTATGATAGGCGTAGTGGCAAAAAATTCTTAAAATTTGCTATGTGATAATGGATCTAACGAATGATACATATAAATTATTAGTCAATGGGTATCAGGCATATAGTCATACTCGTATACAGTCATGTACAGGGTGTATCAAAACACAGTTATTAGAATATACATGGTTTGGCGACGGGTTGGAGGTACAATACAACTGATTATCTATGTTATTGTCAAGGTTTATGCAAAAAATGGTTCCTTATCCTTCACATGTCTATTGTATTTTTGCCCAACTGACCAATAGCAATTAATGGCTTGGCTTAGCTCCTCAACCGTGACTTGAACAACATGTTAATTCAGACCTTACTATTGGTTTATTTGTTCAAAATATAATAGACACGTGACGAATAAGGAACAATTTTTGCACAAATGTTCCCCGACCTAGATAATGAGTTCTATTGTACTTTTATGTAGTCTCCAAACCATGTATATTCTATTAACTGTGATTAAAACGAAGATCAATCATGGCCAGAAATGCAGTCCATGCTGTAAGCGCGGCGAGGTTGGTGGTCTCATGCAGTTTAGTTTTTAGTTAATTATATACATCAGCATTTGCCAAAAGACAATTCTCGATTGTTTTTATTCCATCAATCAACTACATAAATAATCTATTACAGATTCGGCTCGATTATAAAACACACTTATGAAAATTAATAGTTAGAGAAGAGGGTAAGATAAAAAATGACCAACTTATCGATGTTCGCGACACCGCTTAATTCGAATACTTCAAATACTCGTTAAAATATTGTTGAATATTTGATATTCAAGCCATATTGCATTATAATTATTGCATCATAGCCACAGCTAAAGGAAATATTATTCGCGATCAAACAAAATCACTCTACGAAATCGATAAAATTCAAGGCATTGGGAAACGCATCAAACGTCAACCTCTTAAGCATTTCCTAACATGGCTGCATGAGTTTGTATGCAAAAACTGCCGAGTACTAGTAGGCCAAAACGCTACATGACGTTGGGAACCCATGCACCACAATATCCCCCATTACACTTACCTCTGAACCTCGACTTGTAAGACGGAACTTGCGATAAAATTGACTTTTCATCTTGAGAAAAATATTCAAAAACGAGATTATTCTATTTTTTCCAATTAGATCCAAGTAAAGCATGCTATATAGTTTAATGCACGCGGTAAATCAAACTCGTTTTTGGCTCAGTGCTTTTTAAAATGATACAAAATATTGGAATTTGTTTAATGTAAATTTATGCTTTCATGCAGTTGATAGTTCACTAAACTGATCATCAAAACAATTCAACACAGCTTAGAAAACACACAACTAGGCAACACAGTTTACTCCAAATTGATTCATACCGCGCTGTAGCTAAAGCTTAAACATAATAAGTTAACGAATAGCTATTATATAGCATATTAATGATCACGCAGCAGGCAAAAAATTAAGCTTATACATGTAGCAAATAGAGAATGGATCTTACTGTATAAAGAGCTAAAGTACCGGCAAATTCAAAACAGGTCAAAGCTACCTAACACATGCGGCGGGATAGAAAATTATCTTGCAAATTAGGAGATTACTTATTAGTACTTGCGTTCCCTCGGTCGGATTTCGCACACACGTAATATTATGCATATTAGTACACAATGTCAAAAGCTGCCGTTCTGTTTTACTATACCAACTTCACGATATAATTTGATTTATTGAATTTAATAATTTTACGTGAACTTCTTTGGATGAACTTTAACTCGAGTGAAATTTTATTAGCCATAAATTAAGCTCCCTCGGTATCAATAAAGATATCAATGAAAAATTGTCTGGTTTCATTAGCGAAGTTATGCCGTACGTCACAAGTGACAAATCCTAATAATATAAGACTCTCTAAATCATCGTGCGACGAATGGAGTAAGCAGTGTCCAATATAAGTTTTTATTTTAGGTTTGTAGACTAGTACTCATATCGTAAGGTCGTTGTCTGTCTAATTGTAAGGTATAACTATAAGCGATCGCGAACGGTAAAGCGCTCAAATTATCGCGACTTGCAAGCAATAACGACGAGTGTTATGTTGAAAACATAGTACCAATGATTTAACCTCATTTAAACTGAACCTAGAGAAGTTAGATAACAACAGCCAATTTTTAAACTGGACATTCGTTTTGAATATAGTAATCACAATAATTATTATAAAACAGCAAAGATATTATAGTAGCCTATTGTTGTACGTGGCATATGCAGCCAAACGAAATTGTCCAGCTATTTGAATTTAGTTGGTATGTAAATTGCTCGACTGGCATTTATACTGCATTGTATAATACTCACCAGCAGAACAGAATACGAACTGAAAGCAAAATATGACACCAGTTGTTAACAGAAAGTTTATCATCTTCAGAAATGTTGCGCTGTGTAAAAAATAATATCCGTTCATTCTAAAAATACTGAAATAGTCAAAATTGAGGAAAATCTGTCATTCAGCCAGGGCCGTAGCTAGAAGCCTAATTGGGGGGTGTACATTCATATATTCGACTTATGCCCGACCTATTTCTTTTGTACGCGGTATATAAACATGAATATATGAATATACACCCTCCCCCCAATTAAGCGGTCTAGCTACGGCCCTGCATTCAGCTGTGTATTTTCGCCGTTTAAAGATGATTATAGAACCTCAAACTTACATTATATGAACAAAAAGTGGTCCATGTATACCTTTGCACCTTTACATCGATTTGAATTGACTGATCGTGAGTTGGCCTGTGAAACTCCTGGCAAAATAGCTTTGATAGAATTATTGAAATGATATTGTTTTGCGTTTTTATAGGTTGTCCTCTTTTTACTATTTTATATCCGAATTACCATTTTTCCGCTTCGGAATTCCTTTGCTATCATAATGATAGTTTTGGGTTTATTGTAATGCACAGTTGGGTGAATTTTTATCCACTTTCAGAAGGAGTTCCAAATCAATGTTTCGCTTTCGAAACTGAACATCGTCATGCATAGTATATAATTATAATAGCATATATAATTATGATAAAACATTCATAGTAAGCAGTTGTGTAAGTGTGTTCCTACAACCGTATCGAAAAACGGCAATTTTCCCGCCGAACTTTAAAAGCGAAGCGATATAGTGAGAATTTGTAATTGAATCGAATTATAATATTTGTACAAAATCTTTTTATTGAGGTATATCATAAAATAAATAAAAACAAATTTCTGTTCTACGAGTTCGTTTTCCTACTGATTATTTCCTAAACTCCCACGCGTGTTTCTATAACTGTAGATAGAAACACGGAAAATGTTTTGTATTTCACAATTAAAAGGTTGTTAATGTATAATTAATATCGCCATACAGTTTATATGCACAGTAAATTGTTGATGTTATCCGTATGTTTGGGTTAAAAAACTCATGATTTTTTTACGTTCTTTAAATGATTCGAAAGCTGTGTTATCACGCATGACTTTGACCCTTAGTGAAGGAGAGTACTTCCGGTAAATTCTGCCCAAGCTTATATTATTAGAATTAAATTACTGCATCTAACCATTTGCAAAACTACTAATAACTAATTTGCTGGACCCAAAGAAACGTTCTTATTAACCCAAAAATTGGAAATAAGTAATTATAGTTCACAGAAACATGAATATAGACGTGCGTTATGCCGCCCTCAATTTTATGATCAATTATTGCTGATTTCCTGGTTTTCAGGTATTTGTATTTTTACCAATTTTCAGTAGGAACTTTAAGGAGAAAGATAACAATAGAAGGAGAAAGTCATTACTTAATCATACTCTAATTTTTTGAAATTGTCAGCAATTTACCGTCAGCAATTTAATCTCTTCCTTATTAATAAATTGACAATCTTTGCAGTATTGTGTTACTAGGCAGTTATGTAATGATTGCATAACATCCTGTTTAAATATATTCAGCTCAACATCCAGACATTTGCAATAATATAATACCGCCACCCTGCAACTTTGACAAAGAAAATTTTCGATGTGGGAACTGAGTCTACCGTGATATGCACAAAACTCCTACGCAATACAAGACATATGAAAGCTCTTTTTCAAATGCTCACTATAGCAATAATTTTCCTGTCCTATAAAATTGTAATCGGGTTTCGTATCCATTTGCTTCCTTAATGATCCCTTACGTAAAAATTCGTAGCTTCGTGTACATGCATGTCTATATAGTTTCATCCATATCCATAAAATCTTCAACACAAGACATTTTGCATATCAAATAGCAGTAACTGCAAATTACATCATACTATCCAAGCTGTCCGTCCTAGATTCGCGCACGGCGTGGTTATTTGTCGCGATAGCGGCATAGTGAAACAAATTTACAAAATTTTGTGTGTACAATTGAGATTATGGAATGAACCACATTCTCTAATATTACCATAGGTGTAAAAACTGCTTCATTTTTAAATGAAACAAAAGATAGATAGAACGAGCATAGTGGTGGCAATAATTCGCTTGTTTTATTGATATTAGATTCGTGCACAAGGTGTTTATTTGCATGATGACAAGATAACTAATAACAAATTTGCTGGACCCCAGAAATGTTCTGGATAATGTGAACTGGATAATAACTACATTGCTGGACCCTAAGAAATGTCCTTATTCACCCAAAAATTGGAAATTAGTAATTATATATAGTTCACACAAACATACATATAGATTAGAAATTATCGACAGAGTTTAAATTTACGTGCATTATGGCGCCCTCAATTTTACGATCAATTATTGCTGATTTCCTGGTTCGCAGGTATTTGCATTTCCACCAATTTTCCGTAGCAATTTTACGGAGAAAGAAAACAATAAAAGGAGAAAGCCATTAGCGAATCCTACTCTAATTTTTAAAATTATTTCAATGTCGGCAATTTACTCTCAGGCTCTTCCTTATAATAAATTGATAAATATCGATCAGCTTTTAAGCCTGTTTTTTAGGGTCAGTCTATGCATTATTGTGTTACTAGGCAGTTATGTAATGATTGCATAACATCCTGTTTAAATATATTCAGCTCAACCTCTAGACAATAGACATGTGCGATAATATAATAATGCCACTGTAGTTTTGATAGCAGCATGGTTGAAACAAATTTACAAAATTTTATGTTTAAAATTGAGATTATTATATGTACTACACCCTACTACATCTCTTATATTACGATGCGTGGTACGTTGCATAACATCCTGTTTGAAGCCTATTTTCCACAATGCGGAATTTTCGCGCGAGCGAAATTTTTCATTGTCTGCGCGATTTAATTTCATCCAAGGCTAACGTGAAAAAAAAAAATTAAACTTCCGCTCCGTGCCCAAAATTCCCCCTAGTGAAAAAAGGTTTAAGATATATTGCTTTAACAGTTAGACATGCGCGATATTATATGTAATACCACACGGTACTTTTGAAAAAGAAAGCCTACCCTGATATACACAAAAATCCAACGCAATGCGAGACGTTGTTTGAATGTTTCGAAAGCTGTTTTATCATGCATGACTTTGACCATTAGTGAAGGAGGATACTTCCGTAAATTCTCTTGAAGCTAATTTTATTAAAATTATATTATTAAATCTATTCAGTTGCAAAATCACTAATAACTAATTTGCTGGACCTTAAAAAATTTTCTTATTCACCTAAAAATTTGAATTTAGTAATTATAGTTAATAAAAACATGCATATAGATAAGAAATTATCCACCAAGTTTAAATTTGCGTGCATTATGGCGCCCTCAATTCCATGATTAATTATTGCTTATTAGATTTAATTAAATTTATTGAAAAAGAGCTTAACTGTGTCTCGCAATGTGAGACAAAGTTAAGCTCCTTTTCAATAAATTTCTTGTCTTAAGAAGTGGCAATTGGGTTTCGTTTCCGTTCGCTTCCTTATTCATCCCTTGCGTAACAAGTACGATCGTACTATTGGACCAGGAACTGGTGAAGTATAGATTAAATCTTTCTCTCCAGGATGAAATTTCAAATATCTATGCACCTAGGCAATCTTGCGGTTATGTTTAAATTATCGCTTTAACAACAACAACAAGATTAGCCGCGTGTGGGGACCAGTTCCTGGTCCAAAAATTCGCAGATCCGTGTGCCGGTGTGCGCGTCTATGGTTTCATCCATATCCATAAATTCTTCTTCGAACACAAGGCATTGCATATCAAATGGCAGAAACTGCAAATTACATCATTACATCAAGCCGTCCGGCGCGATAGCAGCATAATTCACAAAATTTTGTGTGTACAATTGAGATAATTATATGAACTACATTCTCTTATATTACCATATGTGTAAAAACTGCTTCAAATCACGTGATCCTTGTGTAGGTCGTAGCTATATTCCGTCGAACGTTTCGCTTTGTGAAACTGCTTGTTTCCGCTGGTCCACACGAACGTGTTCAAAAACAGCAAGATGGCGAATATCGTATTTGTGCTTGTCATCTGTGAGGATTTTCTGAAAGAATACATCGGAAGAAAATAATATTAGTCCGTTGTGCGTTAGCAATAGTTTGTCGAGCCAGATTTACATGTACATCATGGATGCAGAATAGCAAACATTTGAGCAAACAGAAGTAATACAATCGTTGCTTTGCGTTTCCGTCAAAACGATTACTTTATTTCAAATGAAGGAAATTTAATGCATATATAAGAAGTAAAGGTTCAGACATTCACAAGATGTATAAAAGAATTTTGAAATTTTCGTTTATTTGATTTTTGGTCTCACTTTAAAACACATTTTCGGTTGGTCCTAATGTCGGGGGTCTTAGAAGAGACCGTTGCTTATACATTGAATACCTCTGCAAGTATTTAGGCTAAAGATACCGGAATACCACCAAACCATAGCGCTTGAGGAGATAATATAAATAGTATATTAAAATCAGCAGATACTAGTTATAAGCCGCACTTGTAATATAATTCAAAATACTAGCTTGCGTTGTTATCACAAATTCCTTGCCGATGGCAACCATATACTTTTCGAAATTCTATGTTTCTCGTTTTATCTTGTTCTTTGTTGTCTTTAGACTGTCTGAATTTTGGCTAATAATCATTCTGTTATAACTTTGATTTTTTTTTTTATTAGGATGCCCAAAAATTGATTTTTAAATACAGGATGTTAATTTGAAACAACTGCAGAGCACGTAGCTACCTTAGATATCTGATGATGGGTTCGATTCTCATATCCGACTTAACTAACGAGGCAGAGAATCAGTAGGCATATAATAAATCTTCAAGTTATCATCTTAAAAAGGGCCTCGTTTCCACGAAAAGTGCAATGCTTGCAATTTTATTGCGTGAAAGCGTGATTTGCTTTAATGCAGTGGTAGGTCCTGCCGGGATTTGAACTCGGGCTCTTGGATTCAGGGTCTAAAGTGCTAACCATTACACCACAGAACCAATTTGAGATTGGTTTCAAAACGCATTTTTACTGAAGGTTTATAACGATGCTTATCAGTCTGTTCACCGTGAATTTCTCCATTCAAACTAGCGTACAAATTTTTAAATCGGGAACAATATAATTCGAGTGAATTTACGGGACACAAAAAACTAGCAAAAAACGTTTGAATTATCTTCAATGCCAAAAATCTTCAAGTAATCATCTTAAAAAGCTCCTAGTTTCCACGAGACGTGTAATGCTTGCAAATTTTTTGCGTGAAAGCGTGATTTGCGTTAAAAATGATCGTAGGTCCTGCCGAGATTTGAACTCGGATCCTTAGATTCAAAGTCCAAAGTGCAAACCATTACACCACAGAACCAACTTGAGATTAATTTCGAAACACATTTTTTTCATCGAGGATTATAACGATGCATATCAGACTGTTCACCATGAATTTCTCCATTCCAACTAGCCTGCAAATTTTTTCTATCCCCGACTCTCGTCATTCTCTCCATCTATTTGCTACCTTCGATTTTTAACAAAAAGTACAATGATGTTTTGAACATTACCATATCTTGCGTTGATGGTGTACTGGTTAGCATTGCTGCCTTCCAAGCAGTAGATCTGCGTTCGATTCCCGGTCAACGCATATCCGCTTTCGGGTCTTCATTATCCTCAATTTGAATGAAAATATTGCATGGTTTTACGGCGACAATAGAAATTAACTTTTGCCTTTGGTAACAAAACCGATTCTTTTTTATTCCATTAGTTTGATATATCCAAAAAAATCAGGAACAACATATTTCGGGTGAATTTAGGGGACACAGAACACTTGCAAAAAACGTTTGAATGGACCTTATGCATAATGACGTCACTTTGTGGTCACGACGTATAGAAATGTATGAAAGTCGATACCGTTGAATGTTTTGAAGTTGTTATTTGGCTTAAATTAATTATTTGAGCAAATAAGTTGAAATATTTATTTTCGAACTAAACTTTAAATCATAAACAAAACAGCCATTTTCAAATATTCTTACTTGCGTGACCACAAAATGACGTCATTATGCATAAGGTCCATTATCTTCACTGCCATAAATCTTCGACTAATGATCCTAAAAAGGGCCTTGTTTCCAAGAGACGTGCAATATGCAGCCAATAATTTTTTGTTTGAAGGCGTTTTTTGCTTTAAAGACGGTCGTAGGTCCTGCCGAGATTTGAACTCGGATCCTTGGATTCAAAGTCCAAATTGCTAACCATTACACCACAGAACCAACTTGATATTAGTTTCGAAACGCATTTTTTTATCAAGGATTATAACGATGCATATAAGACTGTTCACCATGAATTTCTCCATTCCAACTAGCGTGCAAACTTTTTCAATCCCCGATTTTCTTCATTCTCTCCATCTATTTGCTACCTTCGATTTTTAACAAAAAGTATAGTGATGTTTTGATCAAATACCATATCTTGCGTTGATGGTGTAATGGTTAGCATTGTTGCCTTCCAAGCAGTAGATCTGGGTTCGATTCCCGGTCAACGCATATCCGCTTTCGGGTCTTCATCATCCTCAATTTGAATAAAAATATTGCATGGTTTTACGGCGAAAATAGAAATTAACTTTTGCCTTTGTTAACAAAACCGATTCTTTTTTATTCCATTAGTTTGATATATCCAAAAAAATCAGGAACGACATATTTCGGGTGAATTTACGGAAAACAGAACACTGGCAAAAAACGTTTGAATTATCTTCACTGCGATAAATCTTCGACTAATGATCGTAAAAAGGGCCTCGTTTCAAGAGGCGTGCAGTGCAGCCAATATTTTTTTGCTTCAAAGCGTGATTTGCTTTAAAGACGGTCGTAGGTCCTGCCGAGATTTGAACTCGGATCCTTGGATACAAAGTCCAAAGTGCTAACCATTACACCACAGAACCAACTTGAAATTTGTTTTGAAACGCATTTTTTTCATTAAGGATTATAACGATGCAAATAGGACTGTTCACCATGAATTTCTCCATTCCAACTATCCTGCAAATTTTTTCTATCCCCGATTCTCGACATTTTCTCCATCTATTCGCTACCTTCGATTTTTAACAAAAAGTACAATGATGTTTTGAATATTACCATATCTTGCGTTGATGGTGTAATGGTTAGCATTGCTGCCTTCCAAGCAGTAGATCTGGGTTCGATTCCCGGTCAACGCATATCCGCTTTCGGGTCTTCATCATCCTCAATTTGAATGAAAATATTGCATGGTTTTACGGCGACAATAGAAAATAACTTTTGCCTTTGTTAACAAAACCGATTCTTTTTTATTCCATTAGTTTGATATATAAAAAAAAATCAGGAACAACATATTTCGGGTGAATTTACGGGAAACAGAACACTTGCAAAAAACGTTTGAATTATCTTCACTGCGATAACTCTTCGACTAATGATCGTAAAAAGGGTCTCGTTTCCAAGAGGCGTGCAGTGCAACCAATATTTTTTTTGCTTCAAAGCGTGATTTGCGTTATACACGGTCATAGGTCCTGCCGAGATTTGAACTCGGATCCTTGGATTCAAAGTCCAAAGTGCTAACCATTACACCACAGAACCAACTTGAAATTAGATTTGAAACGCATTTTTTTCATTAAGGATTATAACGATGCATATAGGACTGTTCACCATGAATTTCTCCATTCCAACTATCCTGCAAATTTTTTCTATCCCCGATTCTCGACATTTTCTCCATCTATTCGCTACCTTCGATTTTTAACAAAAAGTACAATGATGTTTTGATCAATGACCATATCTTGCGTTGATGGTGTAATGGTTAGCATTGCTGCCTTCCAAGCCGTAGATCTGGGTTCGATTCCCGGTCAACGCATATCCGCTTTCGGGTCTTCATCATCCTCAATTTAAATAAAAATATTGCATGGTTTTACGGCGACGATAGAAATTAAAATTTGCCTTGGTTAACAAAACCAATTCTTTTTTATTCCATTAGTTTGATATATCCAAAAAAATCAGGAACAACATATTTCGAGTTAATTTACGGGAAACAGAACACTTGCAAAAAACGTTTGAATTATCTTCACTGCCATAAATCTTCGACTAATGATCCTAAAAAGGGCCTTGTTTCCAAGAGACGTGCAATATGCAGCCAATAATTTTTTCTTGAAAGCGTGCTTTGCTTTAAAGACGGTCGTAGGTCCTGCCGAGATTTGAACTCGGATCTTTGGATTCAAAGTCCAAAGTGCTAACCATTACCCCACAGAACCAACTTGAAATTTGTTTTGAAACGCATTTTTTTCATTAAGGATTATAACAATGCATATAGGACTGTTCACCATGAATTTCCCCATTCCAACTATCCTGCAAATTTTTTCTATCCCCGATTCTAGACATTTTCTCCATCTATTCGCTACCTTCGATTTTTAAAAAAAAATACAATGATGTTTTGAACAATTACCATATCTTGCGTTGATGGTGTAATGGTTAGCATTGCTGCTTTCCAAGCAGTAGATCTGGGTTCGATTCCCGGTCAACGCATATCCGCTTTCGGGTCTTCATCATCCTCAATTTAAATGAAAATATTGCATGGTTTTACGGCGACGATAGAAATTAACTTTTGCCTTGGTTAACAATACCGATTCTTTTTTATTCCATTAGTTTGATATATCCAAAAAAATCAGGAACAACATATTTCGAGTTATTTACGGGAAACAGAACACTTGCCAAAAACGTTTGAATTATCTTCACTGCGATGAATCTTCGACTAATGATTGTAAAAAGGGCCTCGTTTCCAAGAGGCGTGCAGTGCAGCCAATATTTTTTTTGCTTCAAAGCGTGATTTGCGTTATACACGGTCATAGGTCCTGCCGAGATTTGAACTCGGATCCTTGGATTCAAAGTCCAAAGTGCTAACCGTTACCCCACAGAACCAACTTGAAATTTGTTTTGAAACGCATTTTTTTCATTAAGGATTATAACAATGCATATAGGACTGTTCACCATGAATTTCTCCATTCCAACTATCCTGCAAATTTTTTCTATCCCCGATTCTCGACATTTTCTCCATCTATTCGCTACCTTCGATTTTTAACAAAAAGTACAATGATGTTTTGACCAATTACCATATCTTGCGTTGATGGTGTAATGGTTAACATTGCTGCCTTCCAAGCAGTAGATCTGGGTTCGATTCCCGGTCAACGCATATCCGCTTTCGGGTCTACATCATCCTCAATTTGAATGAAAATATTGCATGGTTTTACGGCGACAATAGAAAATAACTTTTGTCTTTGTTAACAAAACCGATTCTTTTTTATTCCATTAGTTTGAAATATCCAAAAAAATCAGGAACAACATATTTCGGGTGAATTTACGGGAAACAGAACACTAGCAAAAAACGTTTGAATTATCTTCCCTGCGATAAATCTTCGACTAATGATCGTAAAAAGGGCCTCGTTTCCAAGAGGCGTGCAGTGCAGCCAATATTTTTTTTGCTTCAAAGCGTGATTTCGTTAACACGGTCGTAGGTCCTGCCGAGATTTGAACTCGGATCCTTGGATTCAAAGTCCAAAGTGCTAACCATTACACCACAGAACCAACTTGAAATTAGTTTTGAAACGCATTTTTTTCATTAAGGATTATAACGATGCATATAGGACTGTTCACCATGAATTTCTCCATTCCAACTATCCTGCAAATTTTTTCTATCCCCGATTCTCGACATTTTCTCTATCTATTCGCTACCTTCGATTTTTAACAAAAAGTACAATGATGTTTTGATCATTACCATATCTTGCGTTGATGGTGTAATGGTTAGCATTGCTGCCTTCCAAGCAGTAGATCTGGGTTCGATTCCCGGTCAACGCATATCCGCTTTCGGGTCTTCATCATCCTCAATTTGAATGAAAATATTGCATGGTTTTACGGCGACAATAGAAAATAACTTTTGCCTTTGTTAACAAAACCGATTCTTTTCTATTCCATTAGTTTGATATATCCAAAAAAATCAGGAACAACATATTTCGGGT